AATTTAAGAAACTTTAACCTGGTGGTGTCCCTGGAACTGGAAAAACAAACAAGCAAAAATAAAAACGTCTTTAAACTCTCACTGGAATATTAGACAGTTGTTAAACACAACTTCTCTGGGAGAACTAAGCCAATTACCTAAAAGAGCAGATGAAATACACACACCCATACAAACACACACACACACACACACACAGACCCCCACCCGCCCCCCAAAAAATTTGAGACTTTATAACAAAAGCCAAGAGTCTCCATAGCCCAGAATGAATCAGGGGAAAGCGAACAAAAACAGAAACTACAAAACCCAGTTCAAAACCACCTTGCCTTTTACCTCTGCCTCATCTCTCAGTGACTGAGAATCTGACGCTCCAGGGGTGCATCATATAATGCAGAGTCCTGGGCCACCACACACCCCAGAACAAACGGAGACACGGTTCAGAAATCTGCATCCTGTAAGATCGCTAGGTAATTCTTATGCACACCTAAGTTTTGAGAAATACCATTCCTCAGATTACATTAATGAAATTAACATACCTCCCAACTCTCATTCAAAGCTCAGAAAGAGTTATATCCCATTATGAGGCTACTGGAGAACGGGGAAAAGATTTCCAAGAGAATAGTGATCGAAAATATACTCCTGAGCTGCGATCATTATCGAATAGGCTTTTTTTTTTTTCTAATTGAAGTACAGTCTGTTACAATGTATCAATTTCTGGTGTCCAGTACAACGTCCCAGTCATGCATATACATATGTATATTCATTTTTATACAGAATAGGCTTTTAAACTCAGCAATTGTGGAGGAATTTAAATGTTTCCTGTCCTCGCCTCCTCACTCCTTCCTTAGTCTTCTTCCCCTAGAAGCAGGCTCACAAATCCCCCCTTTATTTGACACTCACTGTATATAGTTTGGCTACTATCTAGATTAGACTGCATACAAAGTTTGATAGAATAAATGGTAGATTATATATTCCCTAGAATAGAGGGAATTCTAGCCAGTACATACAGATGTCGTTTTGATATAGCTAAATCTATAAATACAGATGTATGGATACCAGCCTCACAAAACCAAAAAAAATCGATGGTTCTGAAACCCAGCTTTATACTAAAGTTAATAAAAATCACAGATACCTAATCTCCAACCCCAAAGGTTCTAATTAAGAAGATCTGAATAAGACAATTACGGATAAAAGTTGGAATCTAAGCCTCTTGATTTAAAATTGAAAAAAAGAAAACCATCATTAAAAATTACTATATACCATCAATCATAATACGAATGATTAACATGTATTCAGTGTTTATTATGAAATAATAATAAATGTTTTACAGACAGTCGCTCATTCCATCTTAACGGCATCTCCATAGGTAGAAACTGTGAGGAACACCACTTTTACAATGAAAACTCCTAGAGGTCAGGTAACTGTCTCAAGGTCACAACTGCTAAAGGCAGAGCTCTCCCTCAAACTCTGTGTCTGACCCAGACACCCACACTAAACAGCAAGCTATACTTCCTGCATGGATCTAAGGAGAACCACTGGTCTGTGTGTATGTTTGTGCACAGCTGTGCGGTACGCACACATAAATGTGCTTGTGGTAGAGAGAAAGAATGTGTGTGTGTACCCTGGAAGAAGGAAAATGCTGCAGCTTGGGACACTTGGGGAAGACAGGTATCCTCAAATAAAGACTGGTCAAGTCCAAAGAGCTGTGTGAGGACAGCAGTTCTCTAATGGGACGTCGGTCATCACACATATGTGACACTCATTCTATACTAAAGAAGGCATTGAATATAAAAAGAAAAAAAATGAGGAGATTGTAAAAGGTCTTACATGTCCTCAAGAGGAGGTGAATTTTCTGTAGCCATAATGAAGGGTTATAGGCAGTACTGTGACTTAAATAGGTTTGGGTTATTGAAAGATCCCTCCATTGGTGGTAGAGAGGATGGATTTCTGCAGGGTCTACAATACAAGAGAAGCAGTTTGCAGGCAGGGAATATAAACACCCAGTTGAGTCACTCTTCAAACCTTAGCTGAGCCACCCATCTTCTGTCCTTCCTCTGCCTAAGACTCTGCAAACGGCCCATGAGTCAGCAGCACTGCCAAGGAGCCTGTCAACAGCCTGCTTGGGTGGGCGCCTCACAGCATTGTCCTGAGCCTTAAGCAGCCCACGGGGCCCAGTCACATGCCTTTGAACTTGCAAAGGCACCATGCACGTGACTCTAGGTCACAGCCTCTCAGTGTGAAGCACACAGCTGTCCACATAGACTGGAAGACGCTAAAAAAAAAAAAAAAAAAATGAGTCCCCAAAGGATGCATCACTCGGTTTTGGCTTTTCCCTTCAACAGCCTTAACAGCTTTGGGCGAGTCCCTAATAGGTAAAGTCAGCCTCTCGGTGGGTGGGACTTCTACATTAAATACAAATTATGGATCTAAGCCTATAACCTAGCAATGGAAACTATATCTCAGAGAAACAAAAGCAAGAGAATTTTTATTTTAATTAGCCAACTAGAGACTGGAAAAAAGAAGAGAAACTATCATATTAATAATAATTATTTGAAGGTAATAGCATATATTCTTTAATGCAGTTCCAACATAAATGTCACTGTAAGAAATGATATTTCATTTCAGTACTAACAAATCAGGCACTTAGTGTGCTGGGGGAGAAATGATTGGAACTACTTTAAAGCCGTGTTAACCAGAGAAACTGCAAAAATATTTATATTCTTATGAAGGAAGGAAGGAATGCCCCTCGTGGGTGTATTTAAGTGTCCTCCATCTTTTGGATAAATGGTAACGCTAAACAAAAAATGGAAAGATGACCTTAGAATAATAACCTCAGGACCCAACTGGGACTCAGCCTCTCAAATGTACAAAAATCATTTGCAATATGTTCAGAATGGAAATTTCTATACTGCTTTAGAGCCCATTGACTTCTTTACATACCTCAAACAAAAATCACCAAGACACCAACTCAGGGCTGGCTTCCTTCCCTCAGGGTGGGCCCCCCGTATGTAAAATTACTCACCATCCTTTTGCTTACTGTCTGTAATTCTGCTCAGTTCCTCAACAGTGTTTGTAAGGACAGAAAGACAAAGGGAAGGAGAAAACCAATCCATTCGGGGAGGTGTTTCATATAGAAAATGGGATTTTTAAGGCAAAATCGGGTCTGGCACTGTTAGGGCTTTTTCTAGCCAGTTCCTTCTCCATTCTTTCTTATAGAGACCTCACGCAAAGGCCATGTGGGAAACTGCACAGGGAAAATGCCAGGCTGATATCTGAAAACTACCCCACTGGGCAGCCTCTTTCATCATTTGCCATTTCCAACAGCCACTAGGTACACTGCACAGAAGACGGAGAGTTGGTGAGGGCCTGGACCTATGAGCCATTTAGTTTTCAAACTAAAGCCCCTAAGGACTTTGAGTGTCCAGTTGATTCATTGTGAGCGGCACTGATACTTAAGCGGCTAGAAGCTGTTCGCTGATTTGGCGCTTGGAGAAACAAAGGCAATGAAAGCCACCAATCCAGTAAATCTGGGAGGCATGCACAGAGTTGTCTTCTAAACAAGTGACTGGCCCATTTCCATCAAGAAGCATACAGCCAGAAAAGCACAAGTCTAAATGCAGAAGGTCTAAGAGTCGCAACAGTCCAGGCTAATTTTTTTCCCAATCCTATGGGTTCTGAATGTCAAGAGAGTGAACAGATTCCTGGATCATATATACATAGTATGTATGTATTTTCTTCTGGCCATTACAAAAATGTTGTGCAGGAGGAAGGAAAGGAATCCTTCTAAGTATCTGCATTTGATATATGAAACATACATGTTCATAGAGGTCGGCAGCTGACAGCACTGCTGGTGAGTAACAGAGTGAGGTCTTTGGATGCCCAATTCCAAGCCTCTCCAACAAGCTCACTCTTCTTCTTATTTCGCATTGGATTCATGTGGATAAGTAAGGATTAATTCAGTCGCATAGTTTATTAATTCAGTAATAAAAACAATTCTTTTAAGCTACTGTTTTGACTAACTGGCTATTTAACAGAATTAATAGGTCAGAATGGATGGTTCAGTAGCCCTGTGTCGAAATATCTCTTTGACCAAGTGGAAAGTTTGACAATATTCATCACCTATCACTCCCTGGACTTCCTTTGAGAGCTGACAGATTTCTACAAGCACCAGATTGTGTAGATGCCAAGTGCTTCCTGGCTGTTCCAGGAAAGTATCAAAGCCAACACAACAAGCTTCAATGCTGGTGAGGTCCAGATAGTCTTGGGGTTGAATAGAAGTCACCAAGGAGTAGGCTGTCAGCTTGCCTAACAAATGTAAAAGAGTCTATTACCCCGGCACTGTCACCGTGTCCCTTATTTATGCTCCTCTAGCCGGGGAGTGGGAAAAGCCTGCTGGAACAGCTATCCAGCTGCTCATACAGTTAATATAGCTGTAGAGAGAACATGATTTATAAGAGCCCTTCCCCTCGACATTAGAACATGACTCTCAGGCACACTCATCTTGGGGAGACCCACGTCATCCACACACTTCTGTTTGCTCTGGTGACAGTAGGATAACAGAGAGCTGAGGAAGATAAAGCACAGAAGACAGAGAAACGCAACACACACACCTCTTGGCGGTATCTATGCACCGACCTATGCCCTTTATGATGCATAGGGGACTGCTCCACTTGTAAAAGGAAAGGAAATGTTCTCGTGTTTAAAACAGCCAGGCAGAGGTTCCATAAAAGTTGGGCGTGCATGTCTGGGGGAGGCTCCCTGCCGCTTGCTAATGAGGGCAGAAACCAAACCAGCAGGCGTGCACAAATTACTTCCAGGATCAACACAGATTGTGCTGCCAGTGAAGACAGTCATTGAACTAGTCCTTCTGCAAGATCAGGGAGCTACCTGGAGACTTTCTCTTCTTTCAGATTAGAAGGCAGGAATAAGGGGCATGTGATAGCTCCCCATTCCAGCGTGTTACTGCCGGACAGAAAGCACGGGTATCCCGCAGCCTCACATACCTGGTAGGGGCCCTGGTTGCAGCCACAGTAGCTGCTCTCCATCGTGTAGCTTCTGGACACGCCCATCTCTCTCCACACCACCACCCGGGCTGTGGAGGCTCGAGACTTCTCCACCAGGAAGCTGCAGCTGCTCATCGTGAATGCCGGCGCCAGCTTATCAAGGATTTTGGGAAGAGTCTACAATAAAAAAAAAAATCAAATTATGATATGATATGCAGGTGATTGCAGTTAAAAATAGATTCTCAATATTTATTCAGCATCTCAATATACCAAACACTTAATATTGCTACTACAAATCTTATATCAGTCCTAACTAATGATAAAAATCATTTTAAAGATGAGGAGACGGAGGCTTAGAAAAGTTAGAAGAAATAGCTTAAGTCCAACTACAAAGGGGCTGGAATGGGATCCAAATGCCAACGTGGCCAACTCCAAAGACTATGCTCTCTCCACTCCATCCTTCTGCATCTCGGTGGACCAAGGTTGCAGCACACATTCAGCTTCACACATTGCTGGGGTGAGACCCAAGGAAAGCCACAGGTTTCATAGGGACCTGAAATTTGGAGAGTGACTCCACCCAGCCTCGCTGTTTTCTAGCTGGATTTCACTGATCTCAGACACATGGCCGTTGTTGATTCTCAAGCAGGATCACATATAAAGTTCACGTGTTTCCTGAGAGAGTGTAATTGCCAGAATGAACTTTTCAGCTCATCCTCTGATCCATAAATCTCAAGCTGGACCAATTATAAAGCTTCTAAAAATCCATACGCCCTGGATTCACATATACCATCTTTTCCTAGGGTAGAAAAGCTTTATGTGGACCACTTGATCTCCACTTAGAAGGCATGAGTAGACCCTTGGCACTCTCTGATGGACAGAAAGGGGACTTCTAGTCAAGGATGACATCTCAGAGTTGATAGTACACCACATCTTTGGGACAGCGAAAATACTACACTTAGCCCGGAACTTCTGTGACATGAACAAGAAGGTTTCTCTCACTTCAGCAGTGACAGAGTCTCCACAAACTAGCACATGATATAAAATTATGTACATTAGATAACAAATAGTGAAATGGCAGGCCTTTGGACAAATTGAAGGGAAAAGGTAGAGAAACAAAACACATTGACGAGAATGTCAATTAAGGAATTATTTTTAAAGAAATGCAGTTTTGTTCATTTCTAGAACACTGAGCAAATTTCTTAATAAATCTCTGATTCTTATTGCCCTCATGTATAACACAACTGTTAATTATATTAATATAAAGATTAATATAACTATTAATTATATTATAAATTACATGTAAGTATATATTAATGTAATGATGAATATAATTTGCTATGATCTCTAAGTCCCTAAATAGACTCCAGACCTATAGTGTCGTATTTTAAGGAAAATAAAAAATGCTAATGTTATCCTTATCTAGTTTCTCCAATTGCTTTCTGATTGATTTCACCTCCCCACACTTGTCCCTCACTCTCTGTGATTCCCTCGCCCCATTTTCCTCCTTCAAAGCGTTCATCACAGTTATAGTTAAATTACTGCGTAGGTAATTAGTCGTTTAACTTCTGCCTCCTCTGCAGCCCAGAAGTTCCATGAGGGCAGGTCTGTGCTTTGTCCATAGGAAAATCTCTGCACATGAAGCCATGCTGCTCGCAGAGGGTACTTCATAACTATTTGCTGAAATTAGTAGAATCTGCTAGTCCAGGCCCTTAGGGGACTGCCTAAATAGACATAATTAGAATATATATGTATATAATATACATAAATATATAGAGAATATATATACATACATAATTAGAATACATATATGGCAACTAACGTGATCGAGAATACTTGAGTATAGTTTTAATTTATCAATGTTTTTACCTTGTTGCAAAAAGTTTAATCCGACATCGTTTAAATGACCGCTCCTTTCTCACTTAAATGAACCTTGCTTTCTTAGCTGGTTCAGCCCCTCTCCAAATGACCACACGGTCAAATGAATGGCATGTGTCTGGGAGAGCTCGATAAGCTGTGATCTGTCCCCTCACGGGAGCCTGGAGGATGCGAAATTTACAAAGTGCAGTTGGAGAACCTTCTTCCATCTCCACAGGGACAGTTTCTCCGTTCATTAGTAACAGACTCCAAACTATCTTATTTACACTAAAGTTTTCTCATTCCATTTCTCTTTTGATTTAACAGAAACTGATGTCAGAGTAAGAAATGAAGGTGATGATAGCAATGATAAGTGGAGACTGTTTGTTATGTTTTGTTTTGTAAATGAATAGGAAGTTGATGAACCTTATACATGAACTGACTGACTGGAGTCTTGCTTCAGTGTTTCCTGGGCTCCCCCTCCCCAGCTTGGGTGAGGAGAGACTGCTTGGGACATTCACCTATTCCTCTGCCACTTGCTCTGTGCCCTTAAACTTGATCTCAGTTTCCAGAACATTAAAATGATAATAGATAACTTTTCACTGAATACTTACTATGTATATGACATGGGTTAATTCATTTAATCATCACAGGTCTTTGAGGTAACTTTTGTTATTATCGCATAATATACAGGCCAGACAAGTTATCTTTTCAGTGGTCAAAAAGCTGGCAAGAACAAATCCAGAATTTCAGCCCAGATGTTCTAATTCTGATCATATGAGTTTAACCACTGCAAACACTGCTTCTTCAATGAGGTATTACTATCCCACAAGAGTGTAAAAAGCTTCAACTAAGATGTAATATATCCAATATATGAGGCATCCAATATATTATATTATTTATGATTTGTTATAAATGTACTCAAAAAAAAAACACACACCTCACTTCTTTTTGTTGCTCTCTCTCATCTTCTAAAAGTAGGCTTCAGAATGCATATTAAAGACTCTTTGCAGGAAGAGATGCTACTGCAGCTCAAAACCCCATCTGGACTCTGAATACCAAGCATCATAGAACATGGTTTACGGGCAGGAAGGGCAGAGCCAGACAGACCAGGGATAAGAGTCCACTTCCCCTATGTACTTCCTGTGTGACTTCAGTTAAGGTATTCAGCCTCTCTGAGGCTTAGGTCTCTCATCTGCAAAATGGGAGCATGAACTTCTCCCTATAGAATGGTGATAAACAAGATAACGTACACACAGGGCATGGCATGGGAGCTGACACTAGCATAGTCTTAACGTAGACCTGGGGATGCTTAGAGATGCTTAGAGAAGAGGCCCTGAGGACGAATCTTCTGTGTCCTCCTAGACACTGAATCCCATATGTCCAGGAGCAGTTGGGCCAGCTGTAGCCTTAACTGATGGAGGAAGGGATGATTCTGATTTAATCATTCTGGTTTCCAGGCACACCATGGAAGCCTGAGTTGCATTTTAATTTATCTGCTTTCTGTTGACGCTTCTCAGCCCTGTCTGGTTTCCCAAATTCAAAGAAGATGTAACTGTCAAAGATACGCTGACTATAATCTTGCCAGACAGCTCCTAGCTCAGAGCTCATTTCCAGGGTGAGCCCTCTCTGGGGCTCCAAGGTGCCTATGGTCAACCCTACAGAACTCAGATGGCATCTTTTTCTCTGGATTAAGCATGTGGCAAGGGCATAGTTGGGGGTGAATTCTGGATTCACACTACAGAATTTGACTTCAAGCAGGTCATGTAACTTGTCTGGCCGTCGGTTTCATCATCATAAAGAGGAGAAAGGCAGTAATAGTGGCTACCTGGAGTGAGGTAATAAAGCACTGAGAACCCTCAATAAATGTGTCATTATTATTATTGCTATTATTGCACTGTTCAGAGTGAAAAGTGCTCATGTGTGAAAGTTTGGAAGAGAGGGAAGTCACTCGGCTCAAATATTCAATCTTCCATGTCTAAAAGAATTAAAGCCTCTTTTTATATTTTATATTCTCCCTCTTGTAAACCAGATAACTCCCTGTTTTCCAAGTGCCAAACAAAGACTGGTTCTTTGAGCACCTTTCATTCTAAAGTGTTGAGCACTTTGACTCATGGTTGTGCTTCTGTCTGATACAGCACTATTTTTCTAAGATCACTGAGGTCAGGATTGAAAAATAGGGATGCTGGTTCTGAACCACCTGGGTCCCAGTCGCACCTCCTGCTGACTCTGTGACTCTTCAAACAATTTGTTTCATCTGTGTCTCCCTTCCTTGTGTGAAAGAGGATGTTATTAAAAGTACCTACTTATTCCACAGACATTTGTCAAGCATCTTCAGTGGCTGCACATTATTCTAGAATGTAAGCAGTTAGGAAGATTAAACAAAGTAATACGTACAGAGTGCTTACAACAGTGCCTGGCATGTGCTCGGCAATGTATGAGTTGCATCCACAATCATTTTCCTTGCAACTCCTCGCCAACTGGAAATTTATGAAGATCAACACCAGGAAATGTCACAAACAAGACAGGCAATGGTACAGAAGACCCAATTTCAATTCACCTCCCCTCAAACTGCAAGTCACTGTTATCCACACATGCAAACGCAGGTTCTTTAAGGTTCAAGTTTCAGTCGTTGCGGAATTCATGTCTTTCTACTTCTTCAGATTTTTCTCAAAATAAAACTTGAATTGAAAATCACTCATGATACATGTTTCTCTTCATGGAACATCCTTCTGACCACATTTTTACTGTTGGACTTTTTCAGAAATTTCATATACATTAAACCATAGTTTTTTGTGAGTGCTTCAGACTTCTTTATAAGTTCATCTAGGTTGTTTCATGTATCAGCAGTTTGTCCCTTTTTATTTCTGAATATGCTTCCATTGTGTAGATATACCACATGTGGATATACAGATGGTATAAATATACTGTTTATAAAGTTATGTTCTCTCCATCCATTCACAAATTGTGAAGTTTTATCATTCCCAAGTTGGCGGACATACCTGGATTATCTCCAGTTTGGGAATAGCATGTATAATTTTGCTATGAACATTTACATGCAAGTATTTATGTGGATAAAATTTTCATTTCTCTTAATATTTTTCTTGTCTTATTATACTATCTAGCATACCCAGTAACATGCTGAATAGAAACATTCTTGCCTTGTTCCTGATCTCATGAGGAAAGCATTTAGTCTTTTACCATTAAGCAGAATAGTAACTAGAAGATTCTTTTTTTTTTTAAGATGCTCAAATTCAGGTCAAACAATTATCTTTCTATTCCTAGTTGGTTATGAGAGTTTAATTTTTTTTCAAATGCTTTTT